GAGGAGAGAGACAGCAGCTTCCTGGTAATCCAGAGAGGTTTTATGGTCCCTACGCTGTTCTGACTTCTGAGGGTTTTAACTCAGGGAACCACAGCTGGGATGTTGATGTTGGAGACAGTTCATTCTGGAGACTTGGTGTGTTAGAAGAGTCTGTTAAGAGGAAGGGAAGCATAAAGTCTGGATGGTTGTTCATAGAGTTCTATTCAGGTGGATATTCAGCACGTTCTCCACATTCTCCATCAGCTCCTTTCACATTTCTCTCAGTCCAGAAGAATCTCCAGAGGATCAGAGTGAATCTGGACTGGGACAGAGGAAAACTGTCCTTCTCTGATCTGGATACTAACACACACATACACACCTTCACACACACCTTCACTGATAGGATGTTTCCATTCTTCGCCACTGATAAAACATTAAAGATCGAACCGATGAAGATCTCAGTGATGAAGCAGCAGCTCTGATGATCTCAGCATGAAGATCAAAGTCCAATAAAAACTTATTGATCAGATTGAAACTCTGAGTTTTAAAGAGGAAACTGGAGACGATCTGATCATCTGGAAACTTCTTCATCTCTGACTTTCAACTATTGTTTCCATTATAGCAGAAATTAATGTCAATATGTTTAATTGAATGCAGATTATTTTTATCTGCTTAGTGACAAACTGAATGAATCTGAAATGACATTTTCCATCATTTCTAAGTTATTTGTGTTTCTTTGACCTTTTCCCTGTTTAAACTTTCTATATAATCACTTTTATCATTCAGTAAATTCCAGAAAATTCTGTGACAAACATTTAAATCCATGTTATCCATCCTTAATCCCAGGAGATTTTAATCTGGTCTGGTTCTTTTCAGTTCATTTCCAAAACCTTTGGTTCATCAGATCATCATAATTATTGATTATCATTCAGTTTGTCACTATAATGATTTCAGGACAATAATAAACTCTACATGATGCTTTGAGGCCCTGAAACCTGAATATTGTTGCAGCGTTAATCTTTCATTTCTGATTCTTTAGTCTGAGTTTAGTTTTTCTTTTCAAATGACTCAAAGGAAAAAGTTTTATTCTTTTCATCTCTTTTCAGTTTGTTTTCCATTTTTAAGGAGATGATGTCAAAAATAACTGCAGAGCTGTAATAAATTTTATTTTCATTAATTTCTTCTCAGGTTTTATTTCGGTTTACATTTCCAGAACTTAGTGTCATTTTTAGAGAGTCAGTTTGGAGCCACAGCCAGCAGGGGGCGCCATGCAAGCTGTTCATGCAGCTTTCATGGTTCTGGGATCTTTTAAACATGTCATGCTTTTAAATCCTTCCTTTCCACATGTAAATCCTTCATTTATGGCCTATTTAAAGTAAAACTGCATTGCTTTGCAGGTCTACAGACCCTGGTTTTCCTGTTCTGAGGCGTTTTAGAGCATCTCAATTGGCTTCGGTCCTTTTAAACCTTAATGAGACGTTTTACGCCGCGCCATGCTCCAGGTGGCACAGCGTTCCACTTCACCCTGTTTGGACATTTTGTAGTTTGATAGAAGCGACATGATGTTGGGGTCAGTTCGTTCTGGAGACTTGGTGTGTTAGGAGAGTCTGTTCAGAGGAAGGGAAGCATCGAGTCTGGATGGTTGGTTATATGGTTCGATCAAGGTAAATATTCAGCATGTTCTCCTCCAGCTCCTTCCTCTCGTCTCTCAGTCCAGAAGAATCTCCAGAGGATCAGAGTGAATCTGGACTGGGACAGAGGAAAACTGTCCTTCTCTGATCTGGATACTAACACACACATACACACCTTCACACACACCTTCACTGATAGGATGTTTCCACTCTTCACCACTACTAAAACAGTAAAGATCGTACTGATGAAGATCTCAGTGATGAAGATCAGAGAGAGAAAAACCTCAGAGGACACAAGTCAACATCCTGATTCTACACCTGCAGAAAGAGAAAAGACAAACCACAGCAACAACAGATGTATTCATATGTAATAACAGTTATAAACTCACTGAAAGGTGCACGGTACAAATTAATACAAGATATATTTGGTGACAGTCGTAGCCCAGCGTGGAGTTCATCACGTAGTTTCTGTTTAAATACAACTCAGAGTGAGAGGTCTTTGTTTCTGTTCTGATCTCTGCATATTTTTTACTGTTTTTAGGAAACTGATGTATAAATATATGTTGTTAAAGGAACATGTGATCAGAATGATCAGATCATGTGGTATTTGTTTTAGTTTCATATTTTATATGTTTGGACAGGTTAGAACCTTTAGAAAACAAAATGTCACTGTGACCATGAGTCCTGCTGGTTAGCTGTGTGCTAACAGTTTTAAAATGTGGAGCCTGTTTTGTCTGTTACAATCAATAAACACTGTAATATAAAATCCTGTCATACACAGATATTTGTTCTATTCAGCCTTTGTTGTGTTTGTTTCCTTGAAGGACATCTATCTGTTTGGAGGACAAATCTCCAACAAGGATTCGACAGCGACGTCGTCCAATGAAATCCATAAACTCAGTATCGGTATGTTGGCTGTAATTGTGTCAGTTTGATGTAAATAAAGTCAGAAGAGTGAAATATTTCATTCTGTCTCCAGCCAAGATGAAGTGGAAGGTTCCTCTGTATGTTGGTCTTCCTCCGGCGCGTCGCCACGGCCACGCTGCCTTCATCCTGCACAGTCACGTCAGACGGCTTCTCACAGATAAACTTTATCAGAATGGCATCACATGTTCTCCAACACCACGTTTCTGTTCCCTGGTTCACAGCTGTTTGTGTTTGGAGGGAGGAATGAAGAGCAGGACTTTAACGACTTGAAGGTGATGAAGCTGATCAACCCATCAGAGAGACAACCAGGTACATTAACCACCTGTCTGGAGTCAACAAAGTAGAAAAACTTTACAAGTTTCAATAAAGTCAAGTCATCTCACTAAAAAAATTAAAAACTCAAGTGCTATGCCTAATAGTACAACATTATTTAATCATAAATAGTGTACAACACGTTGTACTCTGAATATATAATATCATAGAATAATAATGTTAATGTGATTTAAACATTTGGATCACACCAAAGCTGGATGATATTATACAGAATAAAAGGTGTTCTTAGTTTATTTGTCATTACTTGCAACTTTTGAACAATTTGAGATTTTCAGAATTAAAAAATAATGTTACAAGTTTTAGAGCAATAAAAAGTAACTTTGTTCTGAGATGAAGTCAAATGAATACATTTGGTTGGATGAACAATTGGTTGGATGGGTATTGACTGGTGGTTGGTTGTTTGGACGACTGATGTACAGTTGATTGGTTGAATGGTTGGTTATATGAATGATTCATTGGTTGGTTGGTTGGTTGGTTGGTTGGTTGGTTGGTTGGTTGGTTGGTTGG